AGACACCCCCTCCCCACCATACTTACTCTTAGGATATTTACCAATGTTCCTGACTAAATACTTGACAATCACATGTTCAAGGTTGGCTCCCTGACCAGCCAATAAACTCTGAGGGGAAAGGTCATGGCTACCTTGTCACCACTGGATTCTGTGACTCGGAAGGTCATCAGCCCAGTAATAGTCAGAAGAGGTGAGGGTCTTCCTGGTCCAAGGCCACACAGCAAGGAAGTGGCCACACCAGGCCAGGACCCAGGCCCTGTGCTGACCCCAGAATGGGAAAACTTAGAACAGCTAACTGTGCAGATGCCCAGCCCAGCTGCAGCCTCAGCCTCCAGCTTCCTGATAGTTCTAGACAAGCTGCTTTGGGTGAGCCTGAGACCTGGGGCCTATCCTGGGGTTCACACCAGCTGTGAGGAGCTGCATGCAACTGATCCAGGCTGGTGGGCTGTCAGGCGACCAGCCCCTTCCTGCCACGATGGAGAAAGAAAGAACCCAGACTGGGGCGTGCAGAAAGCCGGAAGAAGCAGAAGCAAGACTTCCGGGAGACCAGTACGGCTCCCCAAGTCTGCGCTCATTCACCCGAGGTTTCATTTTTGTTTTATTTTTCCCTTTCCTTAGGGAGGGGAGGAAGTCCCTCACCTCTGCAAGCCACACCACCCCTATCCTTTCTCTCCTCCTGGGCCTAGGCACCACTTTCCAAAATCGGATTCTAATTCCTTCTCTTCTCCGTGGCTGGGGTAATTCGGACAGACTCTTCCTGGCCCCGTCCCAGCAGCAATTCCTCTTCCCAGGGAACCCCACGGCTGGAAAGGAAGGACTAAGTGTGGCTCTGAAATCAAAACAGGCTCTTCCACCCACCAGCCAGGTGACTGGGGAGACAAAGTACAAGGAGCCCGCCCTGTAGGTGCTCAGTAAATCCTGGCCACTTCCAGATCCCACACCTGTTCCCCGTGAACTGGCCCAGTGGCAAATGTCAGGACTGTGGCTGGCCCGAGCAGCCGTGGGCCTGTCTTCCCACCTGTGAAATGGGAACGGGTCAGGCAAGGGGAGGGGAACCTGACTCAGAACCTCCGGGATGAGGGGCCTGGAAAACTGTCTTTATCAAGCAGCCCCCTCTACCACACGGCGCTGTCGGGCCACCTTGGGAGATATTAGCCTAAATGAGCAAGAGGGAACACCGGGCCACAGGTTGGATGGGCTCAATCCCCAAGGAAGCGCAAGAATGCAGGCTCCGGGCAGCTGTCAGACCCGGGCAGGGCCACAGCCGCTCGTCCTGACGACCGAGCGCAGGCGGGGGACTTCCACCGGGCGGCCCACAGTGACGCGCGGAGCCGACGACGCGCTCCGGGAACGGCCCCCAGTCACCTTTCCTCCGGGGCCCCGCTTCCTCCTGGGCGGCGCGCCGGAGCAGGTCACGCGGCCTCTATGGGCCTCCGTTTCCCCGTCGGGGACCCAGTGGCCTCACGGGGCAGAAGCCCCGCGGATCGTGATCACCGGCCTCGCTGCGCCACCGGGGACAGGCCCCGCCTCAGAAACCTCCTCACAGCCCCGGGCTGACGCCGCCAAGGCTCAGTTTCCTCGTCTGGGCCAACTGGCCTCAGGCCGAAGAAGAGAGCCCG